TCTAAATTATTTATTCTTAATGTAAAACTGCAAAACTTTATAAGATATTCACCCGAAAGGTTTTGGCGACAATTAACACAAAAGAGTGTTACAAAGGTAGTAACAGATGACAGGGTTATTGAAAACAAGGAAGAAATCGGGAATTGTTTTAACCAATATTTTGTCAGTGCTTTTTTTTTTTTTTTTTTTTTTCTGCGGATAACGACGACTTACCAACATTTGCTTTGTTTCAAAATGCTCCCTTATTTGCAGACGTAGAAGTATCAGAGGAAGGGATTCCTCCGTAGCTTCTTTGTATTGATCCTAAGAAAGCCGCAGGACCGGATGATGTTCAAAATCAATTCTTAAAGCGCTATAGCGAATGGCGTTCGAATATCTAGGTATCGTTTTTAAGATATCACTATCAGACGGATCTTTTCCGACCGATTGGAGAATGGACCTTTTCCGAGAAGCGTTCTGCGCGCACGCCCGAGCGCCCGATGCCAAGCGGTGGAAGTCGGCACGAAAAATCGAGGAAATTCGGAATGAGGCTGTAGATCGACGAGTAGAACACGTAATTGCAGCATATATATAATTGTGTTACACAAAAAAAGAAAGTGGACGGAAAGAAAAACACGACGTTTGGGTGAACGCTACGGATTTTTCTCTTTAAAGGGATACTTCAACGATATTTGAAATATTCCCGTCGTGTTCAAAAATAGGTTGAATATGATCCACAATATTCGTAAATGACAATCGCAAGTTTGTATTTTGAGCCTGGTGGCTGTATTTTTTGTTATAAACGGCCCACTCTGGCAAGCGCTCGGAGAAGGCCCAGCGGAGACCACGTGACATCCAACGCAATCGTGACGTAAATCGTCTCAAGACGAGCAAAGCTACGGCGAGGCTGACGTCGAGAGGATGGCATAGTCGTTCCAGCCACCGAAGCGGCTGCTTTTGTACAAATTTTGAGTGACGGGTTAATCTTCTATAATCTTGTAGGGGGACAATAGCGACTTCTGCGACAGACAAAAGGCATTCTCGGGAAGAGGGGAGTTCCTCCTGCCCCTCTTCACTCGTCGTGGCCGGAGGTGAGACAACCTCCGTCACTAGCTGTCAGGGTTCCTAGACGGGCATTACAAGCGAGGCGTTAGCGACATCCACCAGGTGCTTTTTGCTAATCGTTTAATTCGTTTTAAAATTCCTTTTCGTGACTTTTTTAACAAGATATTGGTACGTTCGATGTGATGCTGCTCCTTTGAACACATATAGAACAAAAAAATTAGCGCCGAAATTTCGTTGTAGTATCCCTTTAAAGAGATACTACAACGAAATTTCGGCGCTCATTTTTTGGTCTATGTGTTCAAACGAGCAGTATCACATCGAACGTACCAATATCTTGTTAAAAATGTCTCGAAAAGGAATTTAAAAACGAATTAAACGATTAGCAAAGAGCACCTGGTGGATGTCGCTAACGCCTCGCGTGTAATGCCCGTCTAGGAACCCTGACAGCTAGTGACGGAGGTTGTCTCACCTCCGGCCACGACGAGTGAAGAGGTGCAGGAGGAACTCCCCTCTTCCCGAGAATGCCTTTTGTGTGTCGCAGAAGTCGCTGTTGTCCCCCTACAAGATTACAGAAGATTAACCCGTCACTCAAAATTCGAACAAAAGCAGCCGTTTCGGTGGCTGGAACGACTAGGCCATCCTCTCGACGTCAGCCTCGCCGTAGCTTTGCTCGTCTTGAGACGATTTTCGTCACGATAGCGTTGGATGTCACGTGGTCTCCACTGGGCCTTTTCCGAGCGCTTGCCAGAGTGGGCCGTTTATAACGAAAAATACAGCCACCAGGCTCAAAATAGAAACGTGCGATTGTCATTTACGGATATTGTGGATCATATTCAACTTATTTTTGAACACGACGGGAATATTTCAAATTTCGTTGAAGTATCCCTTTAAGGCCTGTTCACACATACAGCGGAGCGCTAAGTTAGCGCTACGTGAGCGCTCCAAGGAGCGCTCATGTGGCGCTTCCTGGCGCGTGATGTAGCGCTCTGTTAGCGCTTCAGAAGCGCTTTCTTAGCGCTCCATTAGCGCTACGGAAGCGCTCTGTTAGCGCTACAGAAGCGCTCTGTTAGCGCTCTCACGCCCCTTGTGCAGTGCTTGCTGCTGCGGAATAGCGCGTGCACGGCGATTCCTTTGTTGTTGTTTTTCCTTTGGCATTGAAAAAAGAGGAAGTAATAGAGCCGCTCTCTAAGCAGAGGGTCGGGCAGGCGACCCAGAGTCATGGACTCTGAGCGACTAATTGATTGGGTACGACCTCATATCTTTCAATTCGATATGTGTGACGCTGGTTTCAAGGACACGCAGGTAAACATGATCGCCTTCGAAAGAGCTCTGTGTCTCGGTCCCTCAGCCTAAGAACAAGGTTCGCCGGGGACCCGTCGGTATCTCGGTGGCGAAAGATTTCGCGCACCCAGAAAGCTCTTCTGGGAGTTAAGCCGTCCACACAGATATGCACTAATCGCGTATGTAAGAGCATTTGTCGCATTTATATTTGAGCATCCCACATGTCCGCCATGGTGCTGCTGATGCACACCCAACCACAGGAACCGAAACCGCAGTGCACCTGCTAATCCGCAGCACCGCGGTACAAGAAGCGCTAATGACGCGCTAACGCGGCGCTACTGAAGCGCTAACAAGGCGCTACTGGAGCGATAACAAGGCGCTACTGGAGCGCTAACAAGGCGCTACTAAAGCGCTAACCACGCGCTATATTAGAACGAAGTCACGCGCTGGAAGCGCCACATGAGCGCTCCTTGGAGCGCTCACGTAGCGCTAACTTAGCGCTCCGCTGTATGTGTGAACAGGCCTTTAAAGGGATACTTCAACGAAATTTGAAATATTCCCGTCGTGTTCTGGTGGCTGTATTTTTCGTTATAAAGGCCCACTCTGGCAAGCGCTCGGAGAAGGCCCAGCTTAGAGCACGTGACATCCAACGCAATCGTGACGTAGGTCGTCTCAAGACGAGCAAAGCTACGGCGAGGCTGACGTCGAGAGGATGGCCTAGTCGTTCCAGCCGCCGAAGCGGCTGCTTTTGTACGAATTTTGAGTGACGGGTTAATCTTCTATAATCTTCTAGGGGGACAATAGCGACTTCTGCGACACACAAAAGGGGTTCTCGGGAAGAAAGGAGACCCTCCTTCCCCCCTTCTCTCGTCGTGGCCGGAGACGAGACAACCTCCGTCACTAGCTGTCAAGGTTCCTAGACGAGCATTACAAACGAGGCGTTAGCGACATCCACCAGGTGCTCTTTGCTAATCGTTTAATTCGTTTTAAAATTCCCTTTCGAGACTTTTTTAACAAGATATTGGTATGTTCCATGTGATACTGCTCGTTTGAACACATATAGACTAAAAAATGAGCGCCGAAATTTCGTTGTAGTATCCCTTTAAGAGGGCTACTCCACCGATTTTTTCATTGTCTCCGATTTGCTTTAAATTTTGCTAAACTAACCAACAAACATCGCGAAAATAGTATCCCAAATATTAGGTCAAAATATTGTTTTTTCGCGAAGTTATTGAATTTACAGTTCTGGTCCTCACCGTGTTTTTCAAGATCGAAGTCTCTACTGGCAACAATGAAAAAGTGACGTCAGTGGAAAGCAGGGGTTCACTCTTTGGGCTGTAGATTTTGTTTTAAACTGATTCGAAGCAGTTTCATGGTGGCAAAAGAATGCTTGGGAAGCTCGCTGCAGTACCCGCGCTCCAGCACGGAACAAATGATTGGCATATTCTATTTTTTGACTGCTTGCTGGACTGACAAGCCTGCCTGCCACTGACGTCACGGCCCTGAAAAGCGCGCGTATATTTGAATGTTGGTTTTTGCATCATTTTCATTTGCCGATTTCGAAATAACTATTATGAATTTCGCGATTCTAAATAGCATACCGGAGGGAGTAAAGGCCGGGCAGTCAGAAAATATAGTTAGTTGAGGTAGCTCAAAAAATCGGTGGAGTAACCCTTTAAAGTCGCGTTGGGCACGGGACGCAGCTCAGAGAGCGAAGAAACTGATAGCGTAGCTCGGCTCCCATTATCGATTGGTAGCACAGCTAGGTCACTTCCTCGATTTTTAGTTCGTGCAGCCACCGCCTGGTGCCGTCGGTATTTGGAAAAGGTCCATTGCAAAGATTTTACCAGTTCTTAAAAGTCGAAACGCTAGTCATCAAAATTTACAAACCAATCTCTCTAACGTCTACTTGTTGCAAAATACTTGAACATGTCGCCTCAAAGCAGCACCAAGCGAGGCACTCACTTGATCGAATGACGTTTTAGCGAACGCCCACGTTTCACCGAATGACACTTTAGCGAATAGTCGGACGCCGCGAAGCGGCGTTTTCGGGTGGGCCAATGTGTTTACATTTTTGTAATGAGCCGCCGCAGGCTGTCGCCGCGAAGCGGCGTAAGCGCAGCGCGGCGGATGGGTTAACGCGGGTCCCCGTTATTCGCTCAAATGTCGCTGTTCGCTAAAACGCCATTCGCTCATGTGATATGGACCCCAGTCCCTGCCACCATCTCCCAGCCGCCGCCGCCGCCGTCGCCAGCCACCATAGCCGCCCTCTGGTTCTGGGTTCGTCCGCCATCACTTGGCAATCAAGCAGCAAAAATCCCCTGGGCGCTGAAGGCGCTGAAGTGTAAACTCGACTCTGCCAAATATATATTCGGAATGTGTACTATATATTATTTATCTTCATCCGATGCTTGGCGCATGTAACAAACGTAAACGCCTGCATATTTTTTTTTTTTTTTTAAGCTTCGCGCCTTCGGTGTTTTCGGCGCATTATATTCACGCACGTCCTGATTCTTGGCTAAAAAAGCGTCTGTCTGAACCACGACGTCGTGGTCTGAACAATAGAATTGCCCTTCGTGCATTGCCTTGATGCTCTGGAAAGAACGTTGGCACTGGGAGTCTAGATTCTGTGAGATTCTGGATCAGTGCTCTGGATCGCTACTCCGTTCATCGTGACCATCTCCATCGAGGTAGACACCACCGTAAACATGGCCGATGTTGTCGATAAAGCCCGCTCCGGAGTTGTGAGCTCTTCGCCTCCGAATGCATCAATGTACGCGTGTAGCTCGCAGTTTGGGCACTTGCTGAGCAGTTCGGCGGACATCGCGGAGCGGATCCTTCGCTTCATGAATGGACGTCAGCTCAACACTTGCGCCAGAGTGTGCTCGCTATGGAACTCGACAGCGCAGCGACTGAAGTGCAGACGCGCGAAGTTCTCGCATTGCTTCGAGGTAAGCTGTGCGAAATGTGGATCCTGGGCGCCGATGTCCCTATGCTGAACCTCTTCTTCCCTGATAAAGTAGTTCATCGCGAAGCAGTACCCGTCAGGTGTTTCAGGCAGTACTCATTCCGTTGATGCTTGCAGGTTGCTTGACCATATAACTCGAAGGCACCAAAACCTTTCAGCTGTAACAGGGTATCTTTAAGACTAGGGAGCCAACAGCATAGCCTGTGCCAGGCACGTAGCCAGGGGGGGGGGGGGGGGGGGGGGGCCCATGGCCGCCCCCCCCCCCCCCCCCCCCCTTCCTCCCGAAACAAAATCCTGGCTACGTGCCTGGCCTGAGCAAACTCTAGCAAAATGATTTGTTGGCCTAGTTGGTTGAGAAAACTCCGCTGAAATTACAGTTATCAGAGCTCGCAAAACTCGAGAGTGCTGCATTCAGCTCCAAGTGGAGGCGTGTGTGTTAATGGGGCGGCCAGTCTGCCCGTCGGGCCATGGAGAGTGGCGGCAACCCTGATTTCAGCAGTCCACGCGGGGGCGGATTTAGAGGAGGGGTCCGGATGTCCTGACCCCCCTCTTGATTTTTGCATGTGCAAAAATTTAAGGCGTGAAACGAGGGAGAGGGGCTACATACAGATATGGTACACTAACCAACACCTGATACCCCCTCAGGAAATTCCTGCATCCGCCCCTGTGTGAAAGTGCACGCCGTGTCTCTGGTTCTTTTATGCAGTTTTTTTAAGACCATCAGGAGTCTTTATAGGTCGAAGTGTTTAGAGCATATCCTAGAGTTGTCATTTGGACACCAGATTGAGTTGTCTTCACCACTTGTGGGGTTGCTCTGTAATAATCGCCGCCCGATCGGTATGTGCTTCGCTCGTCTCGCAGGAAGTGACACAACACAATGAGAAGGCAGCGAATCGGTTTACTGTACTACCTGTTTGCCCGTCTTTGAAAGCCGGCAGTCCAGACCCGCAAACCCTAGTTGTCGCCCGTCGTTCTGAGTTTGCAGTAGGAGTCCGTGTCCAGACCTGCGGATCGTCCTTCCTGTACGCCAGTGCTGCGTAGGCTAGCTGTTACGGGCTATCACAGCCAGGGTCTCGCTGCGGAGCCACTCCGGGATTGTCATAGCCCAGGCCGGTATGGCCAGGGCTCGCCGTTTCCGCCAGTCCTGATCCGAACCTCGCTGGTGGAATGCTCCGAGGGATTGCCATGGGCCAGACGAGCCAGAACGGCTCTATTGTTCCTGCCCGACCCCAGCCTCGTGCAGCACGCTCTTCCTTTTTCCTCGCCGGCTGGCCCCCGCTCGCGCCTTGCTCGGCCGTCCTCTCCTCCCGACGCCCCCCCACACTAGAATAAAATTTGGGTAATTAGAACCAAACTCTGCATGCTAGAGAATAACCATACGCGCATTGCAAAGCCTGGTGTAAAAAGGCGACAGGCAACAAAGTGTACGTACGTGTAAGAATATTTACGCTTTGCAAGAGCTTTTTCTATAGAAAAACTTTTGCATCCGATCCTGCTTTCTGCACGCCGTCACATTTGTTGCCTGTCAGCATTAGATTTATTTGCTGAAACAAACAAAACTTTGTGCCACAAAAATCCACTATTTGAAAACTCGCAGGTTTAGAAGATTTTGGCTGCGACCGCACGTGCTGGACAGCATTAGTTGTGCCAGAACGGGCCGACGGGCCTTTCGCTTGAAGACCCGATCGCCCGATTCTCGACGTTACAGCGAAGCAACTATCGGCCTGATTGTTCCTACCATATTTCCCTATGTGGCTGTCTAAGCGACTCATAATACAACTTGTATAGATACGTTATTTTGCCGAGTAGTCTGCAAAACGAGTTCGTCAGACCACTTTCCAAGCCTGCACATATATTTTCGTTCACTTCAACAGTTTCTGTAAAATTCACTTACTTGATGCATCGCACTGCAGTAATCCACTTCTGTCGCCATGTCGTTTCCCAAGATCTCGAAGGGAAGCGGTAAAGTTTTACGCTTGAGTCACCTTCGTGACTGTGGCCGTCTTTCACGCAGCAGTAGCAACGTTTAATTTTGGGGGGAATTCTAGGAGTAAACCAGATGACACAAACTCGGTGAGTTCATAGAGACGTGAAGTTGGGACTTCTACGGAAAGGTGTTCCAAAAAGCTCACGCCGATCCGAAATGCCACATTCACACGTGGTTTCTGAATGCGCCCGTCCGCAGCCCCCGCGACTCGCGTCGTCCTAGCCTACCCAGTTTCTTTATTTTGCAGCCGCTAGATGGCACAACGTGTGGTGCCATACTGCATTGCCGGTTGCCTATACTTGGTCGCAAGAATTCAACATTCAATGATCGGAGAAAGCTCCCTTTACTCGCGCATCCTTTTTTTTTAACCACATCTTTTATCTATTGGGGGTTCAGGGAAGCCAAAGCGGGACAAAACAGGAGTCCTGGTGTTTCAGAAGCATGCTGGTGGGACACCGAGACTTGCCCTGCCTAAATCAAGACGTCTGGTCACCTTACCACCGTGTCATATTTTGTTTTAAAGAAGTTAGTCTTAGGTGGATATCAGCCCATAGAGAAATTTCATCTTTCTCTTTCATCTTTTGATCCAGATGACGTCATGTCTTAAACTTTCACATCCTGTCCCCACTGCTAGCATCCTACTCCAACAAAGTTTCCGCTTTCTGCAATGCATGGTATATCGATGCGGGTGGGAAAGCCGGGTTTCATTTCCTCTCTCAAACCCAGTAGAGCCTGCCCGATGCTGATGAACAGTTTACATGGCTACCCTCTTGCGACCGTGCAGATGCTGAAACGCAAGCGGAAGGCTGCGTCGGGCTCCAGCGGAGAACCCAGCAGCGACATCTCGGAGGAGGCTGCCGACCGCTTCCTCAGGCAGCTCCGGGGAGCCTGGTGCGAGCCCAGACACGCGCTGGTGTTTGCCACCAGCAAGGCCGGCACGTTCCTGAGTCCTGGCCGCTCCCAGCGAACCTGCACTGATGACCACCTCGAAGGTTTTCATTCATCGTTCACTTATCTTGCATATTATAGCTGGGGCATAGAGTGTCCGGTTTTAACCAAACAATACTGGTAAATATCCGCCGCTATAGAAAATAGAAAATGGTGAAAACCGAACAACACTAATTTCTAAAACATTCTGGCAAATTAAAAAAAAAAAAAAAAAATTTTTGTTGAATTTTTTTTGTTTGTTTTTGTTTTAGGTGTTTTTTTGGGTGCATACTATTACCTAGACTGGATCAAGCACCTTGTCAGCCCCGAATCGGTGAAATCACTGACCTTGGAGTACAATGGTGTTACGAAGATAAATCTTAATTGCTTGGGCCGTTGACAAGTGGCGTTGGCGGCACATAAGGTGTAGTATAGTTAGCATAGGCGTGCGCAGAGTTCCGCGTCAGAGGGGGCCCGACTCGTATAAGAGCGCCCCCCCCGCCCGATCTCTTTAGGTTCTCCTCCAAAATTTAAGTCTTTGAACTTCGCGAAGACATGCAACGACAGATTTGTGAGTATGTGGGTATCTTGGAACTTTAAAAATCATCTTACAGCCTGCATGATTGTGTCCTCGTGCTATTAATTTTTTTGCGTTTGTTCACATTAAAGGTGCATACTATAACAAACTGCTTACCTAGAGTTTTATTTTACATACGTACAAACTTATAATGAGTTTGTTTCACACGCACTAGCATTGTTCGACTTCTCTTCCAGAATGAATCGCACTCGCGGAGTGTCGCACGGAAAACTGGCCTCAAACAAACTTGCCAAATGCACCGAGTGCAGAAGACTGATGCTGTCGCCATCTATGTTGTCGAAAGAATACCGACTTCAAACCGAAACTAGCGTTTTTCTGTTTGACGTGATCGGTGGGAATGCGAGAGTGCATTCTCTGCCAACGTTTATATATAAACGTTGGTCGCTGCAACCTGTAGTTTATATATGTGATGACTTCAAGCAACTCGGGTGTCGTAGAGATATTTACAGACGGCGTAAATTTCCGCAACCAGCTGACTACAAAGCAGCTGATTGCGATTTTTCAATTCTTATAACCGTTTATACTGGAGAAAACTGATGATGCTGTCTGCGCAGAAGCTTGATTCGTTTGAGCATGGTATTATGCGTGGACCACTGAAAGGGTACGGCTTAAAACTAGTCTGTTGGAATATCCAGCGAAACGTTTAGTGGGACATTCATTTCGATCGTCATCCAGGTCGACCAGATTTTAGCCTTGGTGAGGGCGTAGATAACGAGAGCTTTCTCAAACAAAATACAATGGGGCAAGATAGCTGACGCATTTAAATGTTAAACATGATGATGTTGCCCAAGCCTCGGGTAAAGTCACTATGTTTAGCTTTCTCGGATGCTTATTGGGCAGACACAGGTTTCTGCTGGGGTAGCTTCGTCGACAAATGTTGCAATTTTCACTCGCACACGGATGGTGATAAAGATTTCGGGGGCTGCTGATGCATTTGTTCTGAGCATTTCTTTACACACTGGTATATTTCAGCGTCTGTACGGCAACAGAGCGACTAAAAATTTGCAAATAAAGCACGGGTTGTCAATTGCTTCCTTCATGAAACAGCAGACGCTCACAATTTAAGCTCGCGTTTGATTGCGTTGCCCGCGGGACACGATTTTTAACAGAAAATCCACTTTTTGTTTTTCCTTTTGGTTTCGCTGTACGACTTCCACATCGTAGCAGACGACCTCTTGTCGTCTGCTCCCACTCCTCGCCAGAGTGGGGCATGGCGGGATTGCATTTAGGCGCTCGCTCGATTTTTTCGGTGCAGAAAGTGCATGCATACGTGGAGTGTCAGCGCTGAAACAAACTCGGAGGGTGCGACAACTCGTGGAATGTCGGCCGAAACAAACTCGCTGCGAGTGAGCACGCGTGGGCACGAGTGCTGTCAAACGAACTCGCTATTAGACCACTCTCCGAGCAATATATCCACACTTCGGAGAATCCGAGCAATATATCCACGCTTTGGGGAACAGAATCATTGTGAGAGGAGAGAACATGAAGGAGACATATTCTTTGCACTTATAAAAGGAATTTATTACACAATAATCAGTCACTAGAACGATGAACAAATCCAGTTGTAGTGCGCAAGCGCTTTTACAAAAACACACACAAATAAATGAAGCGCACGAGGACTCAAGCATTACACATTTGCTAGGCAAATGCAATGGACTCTACACGATAGTAAAAACACATGACAACTCAGCTGGCAGAAAAAGAAACAAAATGAGAACTAAACTATAATAAGCAGGTACAAATGTTAACTGTATAAAAACACTATACATGTGAGAATCGAACTTGGGTACAAATGGCAATAGGAGTAACACAACCATTATCGCCGCCAGTATGAAAGACATTCAGAACAAAAGTTTGCGTGTTTTCATTGTGAAATACTTCAAAATATTCTCAAAACTGGTTGATGCTGCGATTTCCTGCTCGACAAAAGGCAGCATCAGCCAGCGAAGCCGTTCCTGTGACATAGTGGATCTCAACTTAGTTTTTACAATTGTCAGCTTGGAAAATGTTCTTTCACATGAGCAACTAGTGATAGTAATTCTGGAAAAAAGCTTAAGAACACGAGAAAAATCTTTGAGCAGATTCGCCCAATCCATTTTCTCGAAGTGAATCCAGCCAGTCATAGGCGGTCATGTCTTTTGCAGTTTCGTTGTTTGTTCGAGACTTCGGAAGTCGCATCTCAGTCCGCAAGCTGTTAGTATCCGTCTAAAAAAAACTACAAATAAGAGCTATTTGCTCATCCCCTGCAGTGACACACAAAAGGTTTTGGATGGCACATACAAGCTCAAAAGTCTCTTGCGTGAACCTTTGCTCAATACCCTGAATAAAGGCGCCGAGCATAGGAAAGAAGACACACACACGAAACCCTTCTTCTTTTGTCGCATAGGAACATTCATTTGCCCAAGTTTGGTCAATTCGCCTTGAGATGTTTCTTCTTCCAACATCAGGTATCTCAATTTCATTCGTCTCGCAAATCGAAGAAGCTTCGGAAAACATCTTCGTAAAAACTGTTTCATCATCTCTCATGTTTTGCAGTGCCGTTTGCAAATGTCTGACTTCATTGAGTGCAGTAGTGAGGTTGATGTTAGAATCCTGAAAAGCCCTGCTAACCTTCAAAATAAGCTGTGGAACTGGGTGAGCTATTTCCATGCAGCACACAAAGTCAAAGCTCAGCAACTGAGAGAGAAGTCCCTTGCCTTTCGCTCTCGTTTCCGGGTGCTTCGTTGAATTTACGATCTCAATGACCGCACTCAACAGTTCAGTATAGCTCTCTCGAATGGCCTTCACAGCTTCAGCCCGACATGCCCACCAAGTTGTGGACAAAGATTTCAAAGTTTTCAACTGCATGCCGGCAGTCTGACAAATCCGTTCGAAGACAGCATGGCGTAGAGCGCTACTTTCAATGAAGTTGTACACAAGTTGTAGAGTGCCAAAAAAATCGAACAACATTCTGTTTTCTGCTTGTGACAAGCATCCATCTACAAGCACCAGGTTTAAGGGTTTAAGCAGTGGGCATAGCTGTGAACGTATACAATCTTATTGTTCTACTCTTTGCCTTTAGCTTGAACGCAGAAACATGTCCTGACATAGTAGAGGCCCCGTCAAAGCAGACAGAGCTTACGGAATCCCAGGAAACCTTGAGACCAGTGAGAACTGCTTGCGGCATGGAAAACATTGAGCTACTTGTCTAAAGAAGTAAGCTTTTCGAGAGCAAGAAATACCTTAACTGCCCTGTCCTTGACGTCGCAAAAATGCCGCATAACAAAGAAAAGTTGTTCGTGGTGACCGCAGCCACTCGTTTCGTCACACATGAGTGAGATATTTTTCCCCTGAACGTCCTGGATTATCGAATACATCATAGCTTCATGCGGTGACTCTATGATATCATTTTGTATTCTGTTGCTGGTGTAGGTGGTGTTTTTTGGACCTTACTTTAGGTGATCGCGCAACACGGGATCATATTTTTTTAGGAGATTAACTACATCCAAGAAGAGACCTTGTTCAGCACTTCTGTCCTTCTCAGTGTGCCCTCTAAATGGCCTGCCCCCTTTCGTGAAAACAACTACGATGTCAGTTAGGCGCTTCAACAAAATCTCGTGGTTTTGTTGGCGTTTTTCTTCAACTTGACTCGCTCGTCGTTCAACGCTTTCATCTCTCATAAGCAGTTGTTTTGCTTGCCTTTGAGCAGTTCCACAACATGACACTGTTTACATGGCCCTCAGATTTTTCATGCCGATTAAATCTTTCTATCGCTTTTTTCCAGGTTCGAAACCTAGTCGACACAAATGACGTGTCTGGGTTCCGTTTCGATATACCGCTTTCTGGCGAAAATGCGCGACAAGGAAAGCAAAATGCAGCGTCTTTCCTTGGACTGTATTCAAGACAGCGAAATTTTTTAAACCAGCGTAAGCAAAAACTGTGCTTCTTCCCATCATTGGCTTCTGTTTTGGCATAGCTACTGAGATGAGGCTGAAAAGGTCCGCGTGCTTGCCTGGCTTTCTTGCCTATATCATTAGACTGCATTTCCCCTGACGGATCGTCGTCCGACACGCGTTTCTGGTTGCTCGAATTCGTTGAAAATGGCCCCTGGGGTTCATCTGGTGAGTTACCACCGGTGTCGCTGGACCTCGTGGCACAGTCATCAGCTTGCTGCTGCCAGGACAGCTTTTCCTGGGCATTTGGCTCGTGTTGCTCTTGGCTTCTGGTCGACTGGGCTGCAGACGTATAAAAAAAACAACTATTGTGCCGTTCTAATGGCTGGTGCACAAAACCGACTCGTTTCGACTAGAAATCATTTAATTTCCCTAGCAAAAAAAGGTAGCCTAATATTTTAGTAAAATACCGCAGGTAAAGTTATTGTTAGGCAAAACTGATATTAGTGTAGGCTATGGTTATGGTGCATTGACAAAGCACGTATGAAGCGCTATTAGTTTTTGTATTTTTTCCTTTTAAAAAGCTAACGCTGCA